TCCTTCCTGCTCTGTATTTCCCTCCCTAAATGTCCCAAGTGAAGCTTACCGTACACGTCCTTGGGGAACTGCCTAATTCTCCTCTGGAGTAATCCCACCCTTGAAGAAACATAATGGAAATGTGAAAAATATTGGAGAATTCAGAAATTTAAACAAAACACCCAAGGTAGCTTTTAAAACCCAGCTCAATGGCTACCTTCTCAACAGAGCTTTGTACACCACACACCAAGTTCCTGGGGAATTAGTCAGCAAGCAAGTATTTATTAAGTGCCTACTATGTGCCAGCCGTGTGTGTGTGCCTGCATACATGCAAGGACTTGGCTTCTACATTCTGGGCTCAAAGTACCTGGCATGTTCTTAGACCCAAATGATACATATGAGTCAGGAAACATTGCTGTGGTTCCTGGCCTACCCAAACTTGCACACGAGTTCAGATATGAGCCTCCTGGTTGGATCACTGATCCCAGGCTCTTTCCAATGGTGACATTTGCACTGCCTGGAGCTCAGGCAAGAACCATTTTCATGTCCCCCTTGAGAGATAGGCTTGTTAAAAAAAAATTGTTACGATGGGGTACCTGGGTTCAAGGCCCCATTCATGCTGTTTACTAGTCAGATAACTTTAGGTGGGTCTTTTTAACTTTGCTGAGCCTGTTTCCTTATTAATAAAATGAGGCAATTAGACTAGGTGATTTCTAAAGTTGCTCCTACTGTGACATTGCTGTCATTTCTACCACTGGCTATTAGCAGAACCAGGCAAGCTTTAAGAAGGTATTTTATCTTGGATTTGGCTCTGCCACAAATTTGTTAGGTGACTTTGGACAAGTCACTTCACCTCAGCCAGGTGGCACAGTAGATAGAGCACTGGGCCTACAGTCAAGAAGACCTGAGTTCAAATTTTACCTCAGACGTTTATTAGTTATGTTATCCTGGGAAGGTTATTTAACTTCTATCTCAGTTTCCTTGTGTGTAAAATGGGGATAATAATAGCCTCTTCCTCACTAGGTTATTTTGAGGATCTAATGAGGAAATATTTGTAAAGTGCTTAGCATGGTGCCGGTTGCTTAGTGTTGTCACTGTTCAGTCGTTTCAGTCATGTCCAACTCTTCATGACCCTATTTGTGGTTTTCTTGGCAAAGATACTGGAGTAGTCTGCCTTTTCCTTCTCCAGCTCATTTTACAGATGAGGAAACTGAGGCAAAGAGGGTTAAGGATTTGCCTAGCATCACTTGGCTAGTAAGTATCTGAGGGCAGATTTGAACTCAGGTCTTCCTGACTTTGGGCCCAGCATTCTATCACTGTGCTACCTAGCTGCTCTCTGTCACATGGTTGGTACTTAATAAATACTTGTTTGCTTCCTCTTCCTTGCCTTTTAAGTATCTGGGCATCCCCACCTACAAAAGGAATGGATTGAAGGTTTCAAGCCCCTTCCAACTTGGTTTTGTATAACATTTCTATAATGTTTCAAGGTTCTGTAATTGGCACCATCCTTAAATTTTCTATTTGGGAAAAGAAAAAAAATTCAGAATATCAGGATGGATTCTTTGGGAATCTTGCTGTTTCCATTCAACCTTGAGAGGAGTTTCACAGACATTTATTAGCCTGCAAAATGGTACCCAGACAGCTACCAAATTACCATGTTTTGATAATTTTTTCCTGTTTAATGTCAGGAGCAACATGAGCCTGAAGAGAAGCAATATGCACATGTGTATTCATTCTCTCTCTCTCTTTCTCTCTCTCCTTCCCTTCTTCTCTCTCCTCTCTTTTCTTCTGTCATTCTCTTTGTCTTGCCTTTTTTCTCCTTCTCTCTCTACCCTTTCCCTCTCTCCCCCTTTCACCTGACCTGTGGCATATTTTAATCCTATAATCCTGGCCAAATTTCTTTCAGGTACTGAATACACATGATGGTAACCTAATGGTGTGATATAATGGATAGAATTCTACCTCAAGAAGCAGGGAACCAGTATACTGATTGATAGATTGCTGTTATTTATGGGGAAGGATATGCATTCTTGTAGAAATCTCTTTAAAAACAGGCAAGCCTTTCTTTTTTTACTCTCCTCTTTCACTGTCCTCAGAATTTTCCTAGCCCCAAATTACTATCAACATTGCAAATTAAAGTCTTTTTTTTATACCTGTGGTTATTAAACATGGCTTCCTTCACCTTTCCAACTCAAATGACTTCCTGTATACTTTCTGATCGAATGAAGACATTTTGATTGCTCAAAAGAAAAAAACTTCAACAGCTGATCCTGTCCTACCTGCCATTTCTCATCTGCTATGTTCATTTATTCCTTCAATAAATCATTACTAAACACTTTTTATGGTCAATATGTGGACATAGCAGAGGACACAAAAGTATACAGAAATTAGTTCCTTTGCCTTCAGGGAGCTCCCAGTAAATTACACAGTGCTTTAAAGTTTGCAAAGCTCTTTTTTCACCTCTCTGAGGTGGGTAATATAATCATTATTCCTATTTTACAAGAGAGGAAACTGAGATGCAGAGAGGTTGAGAGGGTTGTTCTCCTTCACATATGTAGTAAATATCATAGCCGGGATTCAAACCCATGCCTTGTGGTTTACGGCCCATCTCTTTCTCTCTGTCCCTCTCTGTCTCTCTCTGTCTCCCTCTGTCTCTGTCTCTCTCTTTGTCTCTCTCTCTCTCTCTCTCTTCTCTCTCTCTCTCTCTCTCTCTCTCTCTCTTCTCTCTCCCTTCCTCCCTCCCTCTCTCTCTTTCTCTTTATATCTCTGGTCATAGACAAAATACCTATGGAACAAAGCAAAATGTGGTAAGTGAATAAAGCAGTGTAGAAACCAAGTTTCGTGGTTCATAGAAGGAGTTCACTATCATCTGAGGGAATCATGGAAGGTTTCATAGAGGTAATGTTTAAGCTGGGTCTGGAAGAACAGGTAAGATTTCATAAAGGGTGGAAGTAAGTAGACAAGAAAAAGAAAGAGCTGTGACCCTCATTTCAGTTGAGCAGTGATTCATAATTCTGTGATCCTTGTATAGGTTTCAGGACTTTTTCTCCAATTGAACCACAATGTGGAAAACATCTTCCCTTCTACCCACCATACTTCATCCCTCTCTCCTTCAGTTTTTTGTTTTGTTTTAGGCTTTGGGGTTAAGTGACTTGCCCAGGGTCACACAGCTAGTAAGTGTCCAGTGTTCGGTCTGAGGCTGGATTTGAACTCAGGTCCTCCTGACTTCAGAGCCGGTGCACTATCCACTGTGCTACCTAGCTGCCCCTCCCTCCTTTAGTTGTAGCTCAAACCTACCTCCTCTCTGAAGCTTTCCCTGATTCAATGTTTCCATTCCCCAACTCAGTTGTACCATGTGTGGCAGATTCCCACTGACAACCCAGTGTTACAGTCATCTTTCTCTTATAATTACTGTATTTATCTGTGTGGCATCTGTTGTTTATGTTGCTTCCCCTGTTAGCCTACAAGAGATTGAAGCATGTGTATTCTTAATTCCATACCCAAGGCATTTAGCAAAGTAACCATGAAATTTGGCAGGTTCTCTGTACACTTGTACTCATAGATTCTGTCTGGGATGACTTATTTAGTTGCAATCCTGTCTGAAAGCAGGATGGATAAAATGACTCTTCTAGGTCAGCCCTAATTCTGTCAGTGTAATTCTCAGACCTTATTTCTGAAGTGCCCTTGCTTTACCTGTTGAATTTCCTGCACATCTTTCAAAGTCCAACTCAAGAGCTACCTCTTAGGTTTTCTTAGGCTTTCCCTAATTTTCCCCTGCTAATAACAACATTTTCTCCTGCAGACCTCATATACTTTTCCCCCTATCTCCCTAATACAATGCTGTGTATAATAGTTGACTTTGTTTTGTATCTTTTTCCACCCCTACTATACCATAAGCACTGTGAGGTTAAGGGTTGTTGTCTCTAAACTTTGTTATCCCCAGGACCTAACATCATGCTGTGCATATAGTAGGCTTTTTAATGTCTATTCAATGAATGAGTTAATGAATCTCTGAGTTGAACCTAGCCAACAAAATGGTAGGGTTAGTGAGATTTAAATTGGAGAGCACAAAACTGTGCATATTGAGACTGTCCCAAATGGCAGAGTGAACATGGCTTCAGTACGGTGATAGTGACAAAAATCTTGGATATGGTTTTCATTTTTTACTTCTTGTTTGTATCTCCAGGTGGATAATGTATCTACCCATTCCAGAGTGATATAAGAAGGAACAAGAAGAATAGCAAATTGCTTCCATTCTATTATAGAAAATTAAATGGGGGATTGTAGACTTGGAGTAAGGGGCATTATCTTTCTGTCGAAGGGAATTGGGTCAGAAAAGTGGGGTTCTGCAAACTTTGCCACTGTGACGTTTGCCTTGAGAAGATTATCTGACCTCTCCATTCTTCACTTTTCAACATGATTTTGCTTAAATAATTGAAAACTGGTTTTCCTTTCCCTCTCCCTCCCTGCTCCCCAAAGTAGATGATAGAAATCTATCCATCCCAAACCTCACAAGCTTGTTATAAGGTCATAGGATTTAAACTTTATAGGATCTTACAGATTACTTAGTCCTACTTTCTAATATTCAGATGAAGGGAGAAGAGAAAGGAACAAACATTTTAAGCACCTACTATTTACCAGATACTGTGCTAATAAGCACTTTATAAATACTGTCTCATTTGATGAAGGGCAGGACTGATGAAGTGACTCATGCAAAGTCACACAGATGGTAAGTAAAAGCCAGGATTGGAGCCCACTCTCCCAACTCCAGATGCAGAAGGAGTGAAGACACTCAAAGCTCTTGGAGTGAGAAAGGGGCTTAATGCTTCAAGTTGTTATTATCAAGATGAATTTTAGAAAAATTCTGCAGAAATTGGGGAGGGGGATTAATGAGACGACTTTTGGGGGGCATTTCTAGCCTTAAGAGACACATCAGTTACTTGCTTTGTACAACCATACCTGTGGACCTACTACCCTCAGTCACCATAGACCCCATTAACCCTTGTGTTTTCCTTTTTCAGATCTTACAGGTGAACAAGGTGATGTCCATCTTGTTTTATGTGATATTTCTCGCTTATCTCCGTGGCATCCAAGCTAACAACATGGAGCAGAGGAGTGTGCCAGAAGATTCGCTAAATTCTCTCATCATCAAATTGATCCAGGCAGACATTTTGAAAAACAAACTCTCCAAGCAGATGGTAGATGTTAAGGAAAATTACCAGAGCACCCTGCCAAAAGCCCCCCAGGGCCCAGAGGGGGTAGAGCCCTTGAAATCAGACTTCCAGCCAGTGGTTGCAATGGATACAGAATTGTTGCGCCAACAGAGACGCTACAACTCTCCTCGGGTCCTGTTGAGTGACAGCACCCCTTTGGAACCCCCACCCTTGTACCTTATGGAGGATTTTGTGGGTAACCCAGTGGTGGTGAACAGAACTTCCCGACGAAAAAGGTATGCTGAGCACAAGAGTCATCGTGGGGAGTATTCTGTGTGTGACAGTGAGAGTTTGTGGGTGACAGACAAGTCATCTGCCATCGACATTCGGGGACACCAGGTAACTGTGCTGGGGGAGATCAAAACCGGCAACTCTCCTGTCAAACAGTATTTTTATGAAACCAGATGTAAAGAAGCCAGACCTGTCAAAAATGGCTGCAGGGGAATTGATGACAAACACTGGAACTCTCAGTGCAAAACTTCGCAGACCTATGTCCGAGCACTGACCTCAGAGAACAACAAACTTGTGGGCTGGAGGTGGATAAGGATAGACACATCCTGTGTTTGTGCCTTGTCAAGGAAAATCGGAAGAACATAAGTTGGCATCTCTCCCCATATATAAATTATTACATTAAATTATATGATATGCATGTAGCATATAAATGTTTATATTGTTTTTATATATTATAAGTTGACCTTTATTTATTAAACTTCAGCAACTCTACAGTATATAATCTTTTCTCCCCAATAAAATCAGTGTGCTTGTCTCCCTTCAGGCCTCTACCATCTGTTAGACTGTGTTTTGTGCTCTTGCTCTCTCAGTAGCCTCTCTGTAAACTCTGTGTACACCAGTATTTTGCATTCAGTATTGTCAATGCCATGACTGTCATTTTAGTAAACATGTTAAAATCGAATGATTTCAGAGTTGTGTATAGACACATTTATACCCCTTATATACTTTTTCATGTTTAATTAAAAGAACTGTTACCTTCTCCACTGAAAGTGATGATGCCCTTTAGCCTTTAGTGAAGAAAAACTTCGATTCCAACTCACAAGTTCTCTGTCAAGGTCATGTTTTCATATGTGTGCTGTGTCTCTTTTGCCAGGTCAATTACCACTTTCTTCTGTGTTATGGCCCTGGGACCACAACAGCAAGCCTGGCAATTTTAGTTTTAGGAGTTTCTTCCAAGCACGGTTGTTGTTTGGGATTTTGTGTTGTTATTATTAATTTTGTTTTGTGACTGGTCTTCGTGCCTCTGTTTCATTTTAGAGTCTTAGGGGGGAAAAATTAAACTGTTTATAACAGACCTTTTATTTTTGTGACTACCAGGAAGCAAAGCAAAGTGACTTATGAATATAATATATAAAAGATAATTAAATCATAAAATATTATTTATTTGTGGTCAGCTGGCTCCCACCTATTGTTACTCTCTTTTCAGTCCAACCTTGCAATCGTTTAGTAAGCATCTGCTTTATGATAGGCACTAGGGACCCAAAGACAAGAATGGAAATCCCTGTACTCTAGGAGCTCACACTCTACCAGGGGGAAACAAAATGTTCACAGATAAATAAATATAAAATACATGCATCCCCTTCTTTCTAACTAATCTATAGTCTTTGGCCACATCCATGTGTAGTTAATTTCTCCTGTGGGAATCTGAAAATTAAGAACTCATGGTGTTCGTTCAGAAGTTAGGCTAAGGTCTAGCATGGAGCTGAGCCCTGCCCAGTTTAGGAAGTAAACAATGAGGTGGGAGTGGTACTGATCATCACTTAACAAATTTTGGTGAAAGAAAATACACATGGAGTTAATGAAAGATTCTAGATGTTTTGCTTACAGATGGTGAAATCATGCTTTATTTTCTGTTTGAAGTGACTAGAGCTGGTGCTTCATGGGAGTTACTGAGTCTACCTATGGAGAGATAACAATAGAAGGCATAAAATCCCTCTATCGATTAAGAAGCAGGCTTCCTACTTCCCATCTCTTTCCTGTGTTGTTGCCTGGATTTTTTCATTATAATTTGAGATTCTTGCAACTAAAGTCTTCTTTGTGACGTGAAGGTGATCCTAGGTTCACAAAGACTGTACCAAGAAGAGCACAAACTCTGGAAATTCTTACTAAGAAGGAAAGGCTTCAAGTATGTGTCCAGTAGGTTTACTTTCTAAGGACCAGCTTAGCTAACTTTATAAAGGCTCATCACCAAAAGATTGACCACCAAGCGATAATTTGGTTGGGGGCTGGGGCCACAGCAAACCATGAAGATAGTCTGCTAAAGCATCGAACAGTTGTGATTTGTATAACACCAAGAGACTCAGAGGTCCTTGAAATAAACAATTTAAGGTCTCTAATTTGCCATCTATATGCAGCAGCATATACTATACATTGGATATATATAGCATATGGTGATGTAATCTACTGTTTGATATGAATCTTTTAAAATTGGTTTGGAATGTAGCTTTGGCTTTGAGAATTTCAATGTTCCCTCCCCTACCACCTGGTTAGTTTAAAACATGTTGGACTTCTCTTTCTCTTCCTGCATCACCCTTCAACCCCCACTACCCTGTTTGGTAACAGTACTTTTTAGTGTTAAGATTAAGGTTCTGAGAGGAAAAAAATAGGCAGCATAACTTTTGTAAGTATTACTTCCACTGTGTATTCTTCAAGACCACAAAGAGCCAGCTAACATCAAGGACAACAAAAGCAGAGTCGAGGTCTGAATTGATATACTTGGTGTTGACAAAAGCTGTATTTTCAGGGTTGTATTGTAAGAAGGGAGCAAGGGCATATGGAGCCTTTAATATCAAAGTGGAAAGGATTGGCTTTTACTTTGGCTTTCAGCTGGAGACAGCCTATGTTTTTGGATACTTCCTTCAGCCTGAATGGTAGTGGGAGCCAGGGAGGGGACCAATCTTCTCTTACACAGCCTTGGAATTTAAAACTTAGCCTAGCATCCTCAAGAACAGGTCTCATGGCCTTTGGGCATGAATTGTTGACAGTTAAAGTCTTGTGATCTTGTTTAGGCCAGGTATCTTCAAGCCACCAGTATCTTAGACAAGTTTCAAAGAGGGGCAGCTGAGTTCTCCCTCTGGGGCCACCTCTGTTCTTACAACACCAGTCTATTAACTAGCATCCCTGCCCCATCCCTCACCATTACTTAGCATAGGTGGGAGGCAGAGCAGAACAATGGCATGATTGGCTAGTCAAGGGATGGGAGGGGAAGCTTCACTGTTTAACCTGGAACTTTTCATATCATGAACCTAAATATCTGTATAAAGATTCTACTTGGAGTCAAGGCCCCACTGCCTGCCCAAACACTTGACTTTAGACTGAAAAGAGAGCTCGTACCCTGGAAAGCCCTTTCCCTTTGCCATAGTGGGAAAGGGTATAGTTATCTTAAGTTTAATATGTCTATAACTGAACTCATTATCTTTCCTCCCAAACCTTCCCTTATGTCTAACTTGCCCATTACGGTTAAGGGTACCACCATCCTCCTGGTTACCCAGGCTTCCAACCTGTGTCATCCTTAAAGCCTCACTCTGATCCCCTTTTTCCAATCACCTGCCAAGTCTGGTCTTTCTACCTTCCTAACATCTCTTTTATATTCCCCTTTCTCTCCTCTGACACCTCAACCACCCTAAAACAGGCCCTTTGCAATAACCTGTTGGTTGGTCTGCCTGCCACAAGTCTCTTCCACACTCCAGTCTATCCTCTTCTCTGCTGTCAAATGTATTCTCCTAAAGTGTGGGTCTGACCATGTCATCCCCCTCCTCCCTGTTACCCAAGATCAAATATAAAATCTTGTTTGGCTTGTAAAGCCTTTCATCATCTGGTCCCTTCTTACTTTTCCAATCTTCTTGCATCTTACTCCCCTCACCAAACTTTTTGATCCAGTGAATGGTGTCTTTGATGTTCCCTGAACACAATAATCCGTGTCCTGACTATTTTCATGGCTTGTTCTCCATTCCTAGAACTTTCTCACTCTTGTACCTTCTGGCTTCCTTCAAGTCTCAGCTAAAATCCTACCTTCTTTAAGAAGCCTTTCCTGGTCTTCCATAACCCTAATATCTTCTCTCTGAGACTACATACAATTTATTCTGTATATACCTTGTTTTGTATATAGTTGTTTGCATGTTGTCTCCCCCATTAGACTGTGAGCTCCTTAAGAGCAGGGACTGTATTTGCCTTTCTTTGTAACCCTGGTGCTTAGCACAGCGTCTGGCACATCGTAGGCACTTAATAAATGCTTCTTAACTAACTTGACTGGTATATTTCCCACCAAGATAAGAGCTTGAATCAATATCCTACCTCTGTGATGGCTATATAATGAGAAGGAAGATGTCAGTGGTGTAGTCATCCTGGGAATGGGATATCCAAATGAGAATGCTGAAGGCTCTTGAAAGGAACAGAAATCTGGGACTTCAGTCTGGAGCAGGGAAATGAAGTGTTACCAGTTCTGTTTCAGTAACTTTATTGATACATCAAGGTATTCCAGCATTGCCAAAGTCAACATAATAAGCCTGCAGGTCCAAAGCAGTAGTTTCCCCAGCCTTTTAATGGAACTTTTCTATCCACTGGTCCCATGTGCTACTTTTCTGAAGGGAAGAAACAAGGGACTCCAAAGTATCTGAGCAGGAAATCTCTATCATTGTCCTCCTCCAATTCTTATTACTTAATGAGAGCTGACCTTTACTACCTTCTTGGGGTACTAAAGGAGGGTGAATGTGATGCTGAGGAAAGATCACTGAACCTATCTGTGTTTCCTTCCTCTGTGAGGGGTTAGGATGAAATTATTAGAGGTCCCTTCTATCTCCAAAGTTCTATAAATCTGTGAGAATATTTTGGAAGGGGGAACAGCATAAGTAGCACAACTATTTAGATACTGAAAACTATTAATTTGTGAGGTTTCTATATTTTAATTCAGTCTGGATTTCTGATAAGGTCTTATCATCTCCATACCCCTGACTGGCCCAGTACCCTGAGTTACCAAGCCCAGGTAAGGACTTAATCATAATAAAATGTATCACTTGCCAACAAAGCAGGAGATTAAAACACCTTAGCTTCCCAATGAAGGGGTCCACTCTTACCAAACCACCAGGCTGGACCCCTGTGGCTAACTTTTAATCCTTCTCAATTGACACTCTAGAGAAGGTATTTCTAACTACTTCCCAACAGCAAAACCTAATATTTTGCTTGCAGTTTTGTCTAGGTGATTTTCTGTTGTGGTTTTCTTTTTTTTTTCTCACTCCTTGCAAAAATTTATGGAAGAGTGTTAGTAGGACAGCTTTACTTCTTTCAGTGTCGAACAATGTTTTCTCCAGGTTAGTATGTTGAAGTCTGACTTTTTTAGGGATTTTTTTTAGCTCCTTCCTCTTCCCTTTCCCATGTATGTATGTATGTGTGTGTGTGTGTGTGTGCATGTGTGTGTGTGTGTGTGAGAGTGAGTGTTTTATAGTCCATTTAGTCAATGTAAAAACCCTCCGCTGAGGTTTTGAGAAACCATCTGCATTTATTTTATCACCTTTGAACATATGTTCAGGAATGAGATCTGTATAGCCAGTTTACAGCTACCTGGAGATTTGTCTGGCTTTACCAGGAAGACTTATCCACCAGGCTGTACATTCTATTGGTGTGGGTGAGCATGCATGCACACATGTGCACATACATGAACATGTAAATGGGTACTGATAGCCTTAGACTCATTTTTGTAGCCTTGCCATTCTGGATTTTAGCTCTCCCTGGAATGGAGGCTGTCTCTCTCAGAGGGAAGTATAGAA